ATATATATATATATATATATATATATATATATATATATATATATATATATCATTGTGAGGAGTAAGAGGAATTGGAACTCTCCATCAAAGCATCACTCCCACTATTGCTTTAGGATCGTTTGGCATGCTGTTACGAATTACGTGATACTGCTCATTAAGCACTATCCCATTTTATTTTATTGTTTCTTGATTATGGTTGGATATTCAGTTTAATCAGATATCATCTGGTGTACCTCGTCCAAACAGTAACCGGATTTGTACGACACTATTCCTATTTATAAATTTCTTTGATAGTCAGAATAAAGCACATGTGCAATATAATTCAAGTAACGATAGAAAGTAATCTAAAAGTATCATACAATATTGGTATAATTTTCTTGATGCAGCACATGAATGCATATTCTGTAATGACTAAATTCGCATGTATCACTTACATAATGGAAGAAATCTGGAATCGGTCAGCACATTAACATATGAAGCAGATGCACCAGTTGGTGACACTGTAAACAAAAAAAGCGTTTTGTTCAGTTAAACAGTTGCAAATTTCGCGTACTCCTACCCGATAGTCATACATTTCACTCTAAGCTTTCCGGAAAAAAGTTTGCAGAAAATTTTGAAGATTAAAACTTCGAAAAAATATCAACATTATTATTTGGTAGCATTTGGAATAGTGTCGTTATAAGATGTTTAGAGACCAAACTAAGTTGAATTAAAATTAAAACAAACTGAATGTTAAGGTAGGTAAAACCACCTGAAGTTTTTGATTTACGGCTCGAACTTCGATGTATATTGCTAAAATTGAAATATACAAATAATTAGAGGTAGTATAATGAGTGAATGCTACGTTTAGCTAATTACATATCTCCAGAAATTAACAAAAATCTCGATTCCTTAAACTCTTAAGAAATTTTTTACATTTATCATAAATGGTTATTAATTTTTAAGAAGGAAATAAACTTACGAACGGCCAAAATGATTCATTTCAAGATTTTGAATGTTGCACATACTAGAATGTTGAACTGCCATTTGTGAAGAATCAGCAAACTTATCCTCATACCATAATCCATCACCTTCTT